CCCTCATGCAATGTTTTTTCAACCTACCGATATTTGTTTGGCCATCTACCATAGCCAATGCAACCAGTAACAGTGGGCAGACCTACCATCAAATGACTTTTAACTGTCGAGTATACGGAAAGGTACCTTGTATATGAGTTAACTATGCCTATGTGTAATTTAGAAGCAGAGATGGCAGCATATTACCATTTTCAGCAGTTTTTATATGGCTCCTCCTTTCCCCCCGTCCAACTTGCACCAGGGTTTTTGAATTGAGCTCCCTGTCCTTGTTCCCTTTCAAGGCCTCTTCCTCTCAGTATTTGCTTTTCCACTATGATAGAGGGAAGGCGTATCGGTAACCAGGACCATCGACAAGCTTGCGTGAAGTCCTGATCACGTGAAGGTGTCCACCATCATTGGTTAGTAAAGAAGAGCGACGGCCGTGCGGCTTCTGATGTTTTACTGGTAAGGTTTCCTTATAAGCAACACTAAAGTAACAAAAAACCCCAGGTTTGTGTAATCGGGGACCTGTTGTAAAAGGGGTTATGTGGGCGGGAAATAGCAGGGGAAGGAAAATAACAAAAAAACTAAATAATAAGCTAATAAAAATGAAGTGAAATTATAATAATAAACTAAAGTAAACTTAATGAAAAAACTACAACGAAAAATGTACTTAGTTATGCATAATAAAATATGCCGTTGTTTATAAGGAATCATTACCCTTTTTACCGTGTGCGTTCCTGCACCGAAAATGGGTGGCATCATTCTGTCAACGACATCCTTTCATGCGTGCTTTAAGCATCGCAGAAGTCACTTGTGAATGCGTTTCAGTCCTCTATGTGGACAGTTTGCTCCCACGTATTCGAGTGCTCAGTCCTCCTGTGATCTGGCATGCATAATTCCAAGAGAAATTGATACAAGGAATCTGATTGACGATTTCAACTTGCGCCAGTATATTTGGCTGGTGTTTAATGAAGATGAGTCTTCAGCATGTTCTCCTTGGACTGATGGGCAGTACCAATGACAAACTCTGCAACAGTGCGTCCTCTTCTTCTGCATACTCGAAGAATTGCGTTTTTCGAAGCTTTTCATGTTCATTCTCTTTGAATGCGCACTCAGACACTGAAAAATCCAATATTTGAAAACTTCACACTTCCGTAGTTTACACACCTTCGGGATGGCGAGAGTCCAGAGGCGGTCCACTGTTCTGTCC